GCGAATAGTGGCATGGTACCGGAGAAGGATATATTACTTCTTAAACGAAAGGTCCACAAAACCCTAAACCGTGAGATCTAAGCTGAGGGCTCGACAACCACCACAGGGAGCCGTGCCCGAGCTTTTTGAGCGCAAAGAACGTCATCGAGCCCAGGTAAAGCTGTGCGACTGCCTCCATCCATGGCACCCTGATGGGGCCCTCCTACGTGGGTGTTATCATAAGCGGAGCATTATAAAGACACAAACCCTAGACCAGGGCTTTTGCCAGCAAATCCCTGAAGGTCGCCTGGCAGGCCTGTGGTTAACTTTTCAGCACGAAACCAATTCTGGCGTCTCCCGGACCATTTGCAGCTGCTCCCAGCGCAACCATGCCTGCAAAAGTAATTTAGCGCAACAGCCTCACACAGAGCCGAACCCAACGTCGGAAGCCGGAAGTACATCAGCACAACATCCTCATGGAAAGCCACCACGGATCCATCACCATTGAGAGCAAGCTCGGAAGTAACTGAACACCGCGTCGCGCCCGCTGACTGTCCTTGCGTGGCTCAAATGTCAAACTATTTGGCAAGACAGCCTCACACAGCCATCGCCATTGAGATCGCGGCCGTCCCACACAACCTCGACAGCAACCTAGCATCGCGTCGCGCTGCTGACGGTCCTTGCTTGGCCTTGCCTATCCAGCAAACCAGCCTTGCAGAAAGCCAGAACCGCAGAGCACAACACGTCATTACCGGTCCCCCATTGAATTGCGGCCCCAGTTGGGGCTGCCGATGCCCCGGCCGGGATGCCTATAAGACTGTACATGGGAACTACACCTAATTTGCTTGAACTCAGGGTGGTTATGGGGTGGGTCGTGCCCTACACCAGCGAGAATCCTATGTTGTGACCACACTCTATACCCTAAACCTTGTAAACCCTAAAGCTAAAGTGCTACAAGGCCATACTTCGCAAGCTATCAGGTGTTTATGGTAACAATACCACGATTGGCCCACTGGTTTGCGTTTTTGTTTGCAGCTTGCTTCTTCAGTCAGAAGATGCGCTGTACATGTTTTAGGGATCCACATAGCCCGAAGTAGGTAGAATGTAGACTGCAAACCCAATGTAAGTACGTATCGACTTGGGCCCAAATCAGGTACTATTTACTGACCTTAATTCCCGAAACAGGTAATAGTCGTAGACTTTAGGGCCCAATGTAGCTGATATTCGTAGCCTTTAACCAAAGTAGGGATTAACTATAGGTGCCCTTGGACAGATGTTTCAGGGTTTAGGGTTAAAAGTCTAGCGATAGTAGCCGAAAGGTTCAGCCATAAGCGTAAATTTTCAATCACGAGTATGATTCTCTTATCCGCCCCGTTTAACGAGATCTTCGTAACACTAATCGAATCCTTTTGGATGCACTTAGACCAAACCGCTGAGTTTCTTCCTTGCACCAAAAAAGGGGGCACCGTCGACAGAGTTCCTCGCTCGGATGACAAGAGGTCACACCCAGCGTGACAGAAGGGCCCCTGCTTGCTTTGTCAGTTGTTTCCGCAATCGCAGGTTTAAGGTAAGCCCTCAACCCTACACCCTAAGTCCGTAAATCCCTAAATCTTAGCGATGCTTCGCGCATTTTAGGGTTTAGGGTTTAGGACGTAACGTTTGGGGTTTATGGTGTATATACATATGTATATTCATATACACATACATATAAAGATATATATGTATACACATATATACAACAATATGGTTGATTATGCCCCTAAGCCCTAAACCCTAGGCCGGACGGCCTTCACTCTTAGCCCTGCTACGCCCCAAGCTTCAAATAAGCTCCAAGCTCGAGACCCTAAACTGTATAGGGGCTGGATGAGGGCTAGTCGAAGAAAGGTAATCCGTAATACTTTTTGCCTCGTGATAAACCGAACCACGAGCCAAAGGGGGTTTTACTACGGTATATGGAGGAATCGAAAAGAAAACGGAAGCTACTCACGGTTTAGGGTTTAGGGGATTAAGGTTTAGGGCAGTGTATACTTTAAGGTTTAGGGCTAAGAAGTAAAAGCCTCCACCGCCTAACAGCGGTCACTCCCCATATGGTGTTGTTACATAATAGCAGAACTTGTATAAAACGGTGGGTCATTAGTTTGAGTGTTGAAGGTGAGTGATGAGAAGATTTTTTCTTGGACGTGGAGTTTCCCTAGTCCTTTTCCCTAAGGGTCCAAGTACCTAAATAGAATGTAATTATAGGGCCCAATGTACCTATATAGGAACCCATTTGGGCCCAAATGATGTATGATTTGAGCACTTGGACCCTCAGGTATGTTCGTCATCTTGGAAAACCCAGACCCTCAGCCTCATTCTCTAAGCCGTAAGCCGTAAACTGCAGATTGAAGATCGAACGACCCTAAACCCTACCCTAAGGTTCTTGGACCCTCATAATGGGATCCCAAACCCTAGCCCCCAAAGCCCCCCAACTAGTCCTAGGAGCCTCCTCAGGGTAGACCTAAACCCTAAACCCTAAACCCTTAAAGCTATCCATTCATTTCTAGACCGAAGATGAATCATTCGCAGGCAGGCTCGCCTTTTCTTGGCAGACGGCAATCGATGGCGGTAGTTTGACGGATGGCTGCCACAACAGCTGGTCCCATGAATGCTAGGTTGCTGTATTGGGGGTATAGTGTAGGGTCCAGGATTTAGGGTTTAGGGATGAATGCTGGGGTTTTTAAAGCCCAAAGTAGGTATCATTGTAGACTTCCTTCGCCCCGAACCCTGAACCCTGTGTTTTGTTTTGGCTTTGGGATTTAGGGCTTGGGATTTGAGATCTAAGCTTGATTTTCTTTAAAGGTTTCAGGGTTGTACCCCTAGGGTTGTACTCGTGTCCTTGACTCTGCGGAAGAAGTCTTTTTAGGGCTGTGATCTTGAATTTAGTAATATATTGCTACAGCTCAGAGGTCCATAGTGTCCAGGTCAGCCCCGACTGACTGTAGGCTTCACCTGGAGCGCCAATTACTCATAGTTTTATGGGCGATACCTATGAACTAGGGGGAATTACAATTCAACTGTAGGTAACGTTAGGGTTACATGTGGGGGAATGTCAAAATTGTGGTCCATTTTTGGGTCCCTATCATAATACGGGGCCTAATACGGGGCCTAATTTGGGGGACCCAAAAAGGGACCATAATTTTGACAATCCCCCAAATCAAGAAAGAACACTGGTTCACTTTTCCTTTGCTCATCTGAGCATTCGTCGGACCTACTTCTGTCGTCCAATGCCATGGATAATTAACCTGGGGGGGTCGTCTCGCTTTTAGGGGTTCTGGCGCTGGCAAAAGAAATCGCTTGCGAGTGGTTGAGCTACGACAGTCATGGTTTGGCCCTGGATTTAGGGCTGTCCCTCTCAGGGTTAGGGTGGTCCTGCCGCCGATTTTTTCCATGATTCCTACATCTCGTGGCATTGCTTCTCCTCCCCTTTAATATGTGAGTATTGACAATTGCTCATGCGTAGTTTGCACAGAAATCCAGTCCGAAGGAGCTTCTTCACTCCCTGGTACTCATCAAGATCGCAGTAGTCGCCCTTGAAATCGCGCCTGACTTGGAGATACTTGAAGCAGATTTAACATGCCAAGGGAAAACCAGACTACCGTTCTGCCAAAAAGTGCCCAGCTTCGGCAAGGCTGACTCTTGTTTGCGAAGCTGGTGCAGCTAAGCTTCGGCAAGTATAGCTTCGAAGGATTCCCATCTGCATATCCAGCAAAGATAATTGCAGCAAAGCCAAACCAATGCCTGAGAGATGCTTACTGGCAAAGGGAGGACACTGTCCTGACAGCAGCACCATCTGTGCTGACAACACTGAGCTTCTTCTACCATTGCAACTTGACAGTTGAGTTGAGCGCAAGAGACTGGAACGAAAGCTAGTGATAGTGCAGTCACTAGCGTTTCAACTGGTTAGTCAACATAGACAGACCTCGGGTCTTCTATATTTGAAGGTCCTCCTGCATGCGAACATATCCGTGATCTTTGCATGTGATACGGGACTCAGGTGGCGAGGGCAATCTGGTGGAGAAGCAAGGCGCTGATGAATTCTCATGCACACAGGTGCAAAAAATTGACGGAGAAATGTTACCAATAGGACTCACGATGACTTACCGCAACTGGATGCGCAGACGGCAAAGATGTGCATCTGGAAAGTCAGTTGCAAGCATGCCGAAAGTACACCAGCTGTGTCACGCGGGCTTTTGCAACTCAGGTTGGAGCAATACGAAGATGATGCAGCAAAGAACGTCGGTGCAGTGGCGATTCTTCACAGGACCTCCTGAAACGTCCTTGTCGCCACCCTGCCGCGGAGATGGCAAAGGAAAATCAAGCATCTCACTATGGCTGTCTGGCGTTGCAAGCCCCAAATGGCAGAGCACATCTGGAAGACTTCTGCTGCATTCTGCTGCTACAAAAATGGCTCCAGGTGTTTCAGAATGTCATGATAGATAAGTAGGTCAATCCACTGAACGGACGCGAACGAAGCGGCGCAAGTGAGCCTTGCCGAATTTTTCTTCTGCTTTGGCTTCCTGCAGACACATTGTCAGAAGAATCACCGGGCCTGAGGTATCTGACTAGATCATGATCACTAGTGGGAAGAATGCATCTGCGGTCATCATCGCGTCTGCAGCAGCAGCTCCCCATGACTGCGTCTGGGCCCCTGTAATAGGGGCCCTTTTGTACCGGCAGCCTGAGTTTGAAACGTCAGCAGTTGCAGCATTGCAGCAAGTGTGGCAAGGTGTAAGCATTAGCAGCAGCTGCAACAGAAGGAAAGCCAAGCTTACGGCCACGAAACCGAGGGCTACAAGCTTGGCTTGGCCTTCCCTATCGGGCTGCGTCGGCTTGACAGGAACACGGCCGCCGGAGCAACTATCTAAGAGCACAGGGACAGCAAACTAAGGCGGCTTTGCTTTTACATGAGCAGGGGCTGCAACACAACTCTGCAAAGCCTTAACTTTCACATCCATTCGAATTTGCAGAGTCGGAGTCGGGTCCTCCTTAAAGGTCCTTAGCCTCTTGCGAATAGCCTCGGCGTTGTCATCTGCCCTGCACAGCAAGACGGCCATGGATCTTCTTGTTGCTTTGATTGACTAAGGCAAGTTGAAAACCGGAAACATTCTCCAAAAAGCATGCCCGTCAAGGCTGACAGGCCGACAGGCCTGCCACTTGTCTTCCCTCGCTCCAGAATGCGGGCCTCAGCAGAGGCCCTCAGAGACGCCAATGGTATCTTTTTCTAGGACTCCGATGTTAAGCCTCCATGACGGCTTCAGAGCAATCGAAGAAGAGAGCAAATTGGACGTCCACGGCATCTGACCGAAGCAGAGGGCTAACAAGATGAAGGGCTGAGATGCGTCTCGCCTCCCATGACCCGACTCCAGCCATCCATGTTGTCAAAGCTGCGTGGAAAGCCATCAATGAGGAATTTGCCCTCCAACCAACGTCAGCAGAAGAGGCTCAGTGGACTGCTCTCGACTTCGTTGACTGGGTGTCCACTAGACTCACTAGACTTTCAATGCTGCATCGGCACCTGTGCCCACCCATGCTTCTCCATCGCTTGCTTGATCAGCTTGACAGTGATTTCTACAGGCACAAGCTGCCCCTCCTGGCACACAGCACTTACACGACTTACACTCACACGCATTCAGGCATCCCTGAAAAGCGAGAGGCGTGAGAGCAAGCCTTGATGTAGTTTTGAATCAGCTCGCCATACTCTGAGCCAGGTCGGCTTCGCTCCTGCGCGGGAGATTGAGCACAGGAGATTGCGAGCACCGCAGGATCAGAAGACAACCCATCAGATCTGGTATGCAACGCATGCAAAGCGTTTGCTTGCCTCTCGAAGCAGATCTCCAGCACTCAAGTGGAGGTAGCCGAAGGTCTGTGGCAGTTCACAACATCAGCTTGGCACACTCACGGCCGCAACGAGATATGAAAGCATTTGCGCACAAGTTTTTTGCTCAGCCGGTTTTTGACACAGCGTCCCATTGACACATGTTCTGCAGACGATTCAGAACAACTCTGCAATTGGCTAGCGTCTTGCCATTGGCACTGCGGTACCGGTACCAATGGCCAGCAGTCTCACTCAGGGACTAGCAAAGCGTCCCCTAATTCCACATGTTTTTAAAACGAGAAGCCACTTCTTCCCACGAGCAAAGCAAGCTCAACCTCGCAGAATGATCAAGCACGCGTCATGCTCATGCAGCAAGAAGCGCTTTATCAAAGCTTTACCTCGTGCCATCATTTGAGAAGTGTAGACTCGTAACGCACCGAGCCAAGCAGTTGCGACGGAATCTGGTTTTCTGGGCATTTGTATGCGGATGAGCACGCGTCTAATAGCTGTCATTCATGCATGTTGTGGAACCCACAGGGTGCTCTTGGATCTTGAAGTGGTCTGCCTGAGTCGATCGGAGGCTGCCTCCCGCAACATCAGCCCGATTTTAATGTTCTTCTAGCGTTCCTCCTGCTGCCGTCCTTCCTTCCACTCCTGTCACTCCTTGTCCTACTCCAGCAGCTGCGCTAGGAACCAGGGTCATGCCCAGCAAGAATGATTGCTTCTTTCTTCAAAGCTCGCCGAACTGAACAAAAATGCAATGACTGTAGTTGCTGTATGTACTCCATGACTTCCCAGAAGAAATGCCGTGCAATGTCTGATTCCTAGGCACGCACGCCACCCAACGCGGAAAAGAACACATTTTTTGCAACCCTCCAGCATCCCCCATTGAGCAGGTCAGGGCATTCACTCACAGCAGCAAGCGCGCAGCACTCTAGTAAACAGCACGCGCCGTCCACCACATCATTTGCGAAAAGATAGGCAGACCAAGCAAACATGCAAGGAGAGTACCATGCGTCAGCTCATTCTCTAGCTCAAGGAGGACTGCACTACACATATTGCTCAAGCCGGAGGAAAAGAATACATCATACATGCAATAGTTGGTGAAAATTGCATCAGGCAGGCAATGAATGCGGAGTAAGAGGCTGAACCCCAAATGGCACAAACCTGCAATGCGCCTCACTTATCCGTGCACATTGAGTCCCCTTACCTCAGGCCACCCAGAGTTCTTAGGCTGCCAGGAAGTTCTGAAAGCTTCCTCGAGGGCGGGACCGGCTCCTGGCCCACCAAGGACGAAGACGACAGCGGGCCTTGAAAGAACAGCTTCCCGCCGCCCCTGTGCGCTGCCCTTTCTTTCTGTTCCCGGCCAAGTGCCCAGCTTGCCATTGCTTGGGGTGTCTGGCAGCAGACTAAGTTCAAAGTAGCAGTGGATCCGGAAGGCGACCTCAGCTGACAGGCCGGCTATGAGTGAATGATGGCCAGCACCCGGTGGCACTGACAACTCTGAAACGTTGCCTCCGATCCAGTTTCAATGATCCTTCTGCGCTTGCTGCTGCCGCCGCCGCCGCCGCAGGCCGCAGGCTGCAGAAACTTGCTGAGCTGCAGACGCAGAAGCGAACGAATTCTGCCGCATCATTTGGGGCCACACTCTGGCTTGACCTTTCAGGAAGCTGGGACCATGTTGCAGAAGATGCCGAATCATCCCTGATCTACGAAGCCGGCTGAACAGCTTTCAGCAGGCTGACCAGAAGCATGTCTCAACACGTCCGGCAGACCGAATCCATCTCCTAGCAACTGACGTTGTTTGTCGGTAATCCCTCCAAAAATACTCAGGTCGTCACCGTGCCTCTTGATTCTACCCCCAATGGTAAACTGCGGAGGTAGCCCGCCAAGGTGCGGCCCGCAAAAGAACACGAGCGACGACGGAAGGGGGGGTGGAGATCTGGGATCTGGAATCTGGAAGGTACCCCACGGAGGAAAGCCATGGAAAGGTAGCTCGCGAGAAGGGGGGGTCAGGAGATGATCATATCCGATGCACGAGGACCGATCATCTAGAGGTGGTTTGCGAGAGGGAGCATCAGCCGCAATGGGGAGGTCAGGGACCGTTCAGGAACATATCCTCTCACCACAGTACACCGCAGAGGTTCCCTACAGAGAATTTGTAAAGTGAGAGGTCAGAGGAAAGGTCGAAAGGTAAACTCGCAACTCGGGATCTTTTCATGGTGACTACCCCCAGAGTACCCCTTGCAGGTATCCGCAAGAGGACTGAGCATCCTTCATCCTTGACTTGACAGAAGTGCCTCCGCACGAGTTTTTGGGAGCTCACAGGGCACCGCGGATGGTGCATGTCCTTGGGGCGTGACCTGGGGGGTGGGGGAGGGCGTGTTTGTTTTTGCTATTTGGGCGGGATGAGGCCAAGCATGATTTTTTGGGGCTGTTTGAGCGGGGAGCACCCTTTTGTGTTTTTGCTGTTGGGGCGGGGTTGTTTTTGCTCTTTGGGCGGGGGTGGGCGGGGGGATCGGTTTGTTTTGTTTGTGCTGATTGAGCGGGCTGCGGAAGGAGCGTGTTTTCTTGTTTGGGCGTTGCGTGTGTTGTGTTTCGCTGTTTGGGCAGTGAGAGCGGGCATGTTTTCGTTTTAGCTGGTGGGGTGGTGGATGTGGTTTCAGTTTTAGGGCGGGGACGGGAGTTCACTTACTTACTGGCCTGCCTGTGTTCGCTTTGGACTGCCCAAGAGCAAAGACAAGAAGTGACGGGAAACATATCAACACGAAAACAAGCACGCCTCATGAAGAGCAGGATTTGTGGTAGTGTCCCACCCACCCATATAGGGAGCAAGATTGGCTTTAGTGACTTTGGTGTCCCACCCTGTATTCGAGCGTGTGCCAAACGCAGAGCGGGCACAACACTTCAACGCCAAGGGCATGCACCAGGCTAAAACAAGACGTGTGCCAAGGGCAGAGGGAGCACGACACTCCAGCGCCGAGAGCATCAAAAACCACAGAATCCCAACGTCAACAGCCGCCTGCAGCAAGCTTTCTGCACGTCACATGCCACCCAAAAAAGGTAACGAGCCAAACCAGTACACAAATCTGTAGGCCACATGCAGGGCCTAATGGGCCTAACGTCACAACCATCAATGTTGCGAGCTCAGCCAGCATGAAACACCAACAGGCCAAGTGCAGAGAGAGCTCAACAACTCAAAGCACAGAAGGCCTAATCACCCCCACGCCCAATGTTGCAAGAAAACCAAACCAGTACCATCATCGCAAGCAATGTAGCAAGCATAGCCAACATACGAGATGAACGGGCCGACGGCAGAGGAAGCTCAAAAACTCCACGAACAGCGGGCGTGGCAACCCCACAACCAATGTAGCAAGAACACCTAACCACCGCATATCAGCGCAACAGCAAGCACGACCAGCACTCCAGGTCAGTATGTCAGTGCAGAGGCAGCAGAAACACCCACAACCAAAATATCAGATCCACAGATGCAGACGCAATGCATTCCATGCACCGAGAGGCCAGTAACATACACCATAGCCCTGCAAAAGGCACTGTCGTCCTAGCACAAGGAGAAAGAAAGGGTGCTCTTTCGCGCACGCTGCCGCCCGGCGTGCGCACCTTGCTCATGAAGAGCTCCCGCCTAGTGGAGTGTGCTAGGCCTAGGGGCCTTCCATTGGCAGGTATCTTATCTTCAGATGCTTCTGACGAGCGAGATTTTCAACGTGGCAGTAGAGGTCGCGCAGGGAACCCAGGACGGGTTCCGCGAAAGAAGCGACATCCTCTATGATATCCTCAACTCGGCAATCTTCTACAGTAACCAGCAGAATCCAGCAGAGGTACTACACCCAAAACGTGTTAAGTAAACTGGTGTTTTGCCTGACATCTTGAGGTTCAGGCTTCCCCGTGAGTTGGCTAAAGGCAGCCAGGATCACAGCAGCGACAGATGACGGGGCCTCCCGGAACCTCAGATGACAGTAAGAGTTGGAAGGGCGTGGCACTTCCAAGGAGTGCAACTGCAAAACAAAAGCACAGACCTAACAAGACCAAGCAGAAGTTGCTTGAAGGCAAGAAGATCACAAACGCTCTGAGCTTCATTCTGTGGTTTTGCTGTGTGCGGACATTGTGCAGCAGCGCAACACCCTTAGGGAGTGCGCACTTGCAATACTGCTCCTCAGGAGCCGTAGCAGACAGCTGACGCTGCAACTATCCAAATGAGCTACCACGTAGTGAATACAATTTTGATCCTGATTCTTTCTGCACTCATGCTCTGTGACTGAAATCCGTTGCTGATGGTCATCAGAGCTTTAGGAAATTGCCGGGGGAGTTCGAAGAGACCCCGGCTACACCCATGCGCCGGTGCTTTGTCAAGATATCTTTGAGGGCATCGAATCGGCCGAAGCTCAGTCTGCGTCCACCTGAGCTTAGCATCAGCATCTTAAATGTCCAAAGGCTGGAAGTGATAAGACGAAGCCTTATGTGCATGTGGTTGCACTTTTGTAGGGCTTTTGGAGGGCAGGAGCTCTTCCTGCAACTTGTATGGCTGGCACATTGCCTAACTCTCTATCGTCAGAAGTGCAAAGGGTGACCATATTGCCACCTGAAGTTTGCGTAAATAGAAGTTGCTGCCAGCAAGCTGGAAATTTCTGGCTCTTCTTGCCATTCGCAGCACAACTGCAGAGCTTAGCCTTGGACCCTTTCGGAAGTACATGCTGCCACCTGTAGTTGCCTTCTCCTGTAGCAATGAGGCCGGTGGGCACTGGGCCGTGCACAGCTTTCTGGACAGCGGTTCACCGGCTCTTCAAAATAGCGCGCCAGGCGCCTGCGACTTCTCCAGCAACTCTGAGTAGCCCTTCCTGTGACATTTACAGGCAGCACACAAGAAGCCAAGCCGTGGAGGCCCATCATCTGATGCCTATTTTGGCAGTATTTGCTCATGCTTGGATTCGCTCCACGTACATCATGCACTGATACCTTCAAGAGCTTGACGATGCTTGACGTGATCTCTTTATCAGCTGCTCACCACCGAAACAAACATGCCTAACTGCCAAGAAGATGGGTGGCTGGAGCAAGCTTGGACGATCGGTTGAGACTGAGTACACCGCACTTCACTGTGCAGCGCAGACAAGTCGCTGATGTTTGGACCTCTTGCAGCACACATTCAGTCCTGCTTCCTACTCCACGGAGCAGAAATTACACCAGGATTTCACAGAGTGTTGCTTGCAAATGCCCATAAATGCAGAAGAAATGCCTTCCCAACTTGACAAGATCTTGGGCTGCCACAGGGCACATCAAAATGCTGGAAGAGCTGCTTTGCCTATCACACCAAACTCAATCAGGTCAAGCCATTGCATTGCCAAACAGGTCCACGGGGTCCACTCTTGTTGCCGGAAGGCCGCGGCATCAGCAGCAGCAGCAAACCCAAACAGCCAGGGCTCTGGTACAGACCCCAAGCCGGCAACTGGTTTTTCCGCAGTTCCAAGCTCCGCTGCAGAGTTCTCATTGGCTTCAGGCCCGCAAAATCTGGCAGATCACGGATCTTTCGCATTGGCTCGGCATTTCTGATCTTCAGGGCCCAGGCCCCACAGCCTTCTCGCCCCCAAACCTCTCTTTACACTTTCCGTCCCTTCTTCGGTCCCCCGTCATGCAGCGCCAGCATGCTCTCCTCGCCGAAGGTGATGTGACTTTTTCGCATTTTGTTTTCAAACTTGGCTCTAACAGTCCACGTTTCAGCTTTGTCCGCTCGCCTGTCTGTTGTCCTTGCCATTTTGTTTCTATGTTCTTTGCTGTCCCAATTGGCCTTCTGAGAACATGTTAACAGGGATGCAGTTGAAAGATACGGTCCGGAAATTTGGGTGCTCGGATTTATGCACTACACCCAACCAACAAAGTCCGTGCATTTTTGCTTCCGCGTCCAAAACGCAAGGGCACAGCGTGCAACGAAGGGGTCCCGGCGAGGTCTTTGCATCTAGCCATTTTGGCGGGGGCACATCGGCACCAAGCAGTGGTTGCTAAATGGCAAATCGCCGGGAACGGCCGTTTCAATACTAAAGTAGTACTACCAAAGAACGAAGATCCATAATTCGCCGTGAAAGACCGTTCCAGTACTAAAGTTATATTTCCAGAGAACAAAAATCCATGAGGTTGCCGGGAACGGCGGTTCCAGTACTTCAATTGTACTACCAGACAACAAAAATCCATCAGGTCGCCCAGAACCGCCGTTCCGGTACTTAAATTGCACTACTCGAGAACAAAAATCCATCAGTCCATCAGATTGTCGAGAACGGCCGTTCCAGTACCAAAGTTGTACTCCCAGTTAGCAGTATAGTCAGTAAATGCAAACCCCACGGGCACAGAACAACCCAACGACCCTCCGACGAGACAATTCTCTCTGAAAAAACAAAACGCAATGACTTCTACAGTTGGGAGTAGGTTGCAGGGCTTAGGGTTTGTTGATTCAGGTTTTGAACGTCTTCCAACTCGTAAAGTAGATGTTTGGTGTTAGGGGTCCAGGATATTGGGATTCAAAATGAGGTTGCTGGGATGGTTTCGGACTTTCTTCGCTTTACTAAAGGCTTGGGCGATCTTGGGGGCTCAGGATGATTTCAGTGTCTCTTGGCGGTGTGTCGTCCAGGCCTGCAAAGGCAGGTTAGGACTTG